TTTAGGTGAACGGGATCTCTCTGTCCTCATCTCTCCTGACATTTGTGTAAAATTGTGTGGTGAGTTCAGTCTTGCCTTGCGGTGGCGGTGCATCAAATGAGGCTTTGGCAAGTGCGCAGTTTTCTTTTTACTCTGTTTATAAAACAACTGCAGGGAACACATTAGGCACCATACCACCACCTTCTGCAACTAGTACGCTACATACAAATATGCATGTCATACTTCATTTTCATTCCACACTGAATTCAACAAATAAGACTAGATAAGGTAAGCCTTTATCGATCCCTGGAGGGAAAATTCTGGTGTTGCAGCAACACAAAATCAGTAAGTAATACGGTAAGTACAGATAAATAGAGAACAGGTAAGAAACATGTAAATAAGTAGAATAAAATTATACTTAATTAAAATGAAGTATAAAAAAGATTTAAAAAAATAAAACTATAAAAAGGCAATTCAAGTCAAAATGACAAGATAAGCAATATGTATAGTACCCACGACCAGTGTTTTTTTTAAGTGCAACAGTGCAGTGATAAGTAGCAGTAAAGACAGCAAAGTATAGTGGACACCATTATGTAATGTAGTGTGATAGGGGATTACAGATGAGACAATATATTACATCTATTACATTATGTATAATGTAATGAAATATTACACTGCATGTAAGCGCAAGACTACTACAAGAGCGTACATTATAGTATAATATAATAACCACAAGAAACTGATTTTAAAAAAGAATTTTGTTTGTCTCTAGTATGGGTAAAGCGCTAAAAAAACCATGATACAACATTTTCCATAGTGCAACCTAATAGTGTTGCTTCATTACAATATTACATGTCTAGCTAAGCATTTTTCTGTTACAGATTTGAAATCTTAAGCCCTAACCCTGATGGCATCACCAGGGATTTCTATGACTTGTTTTTTATCCACCCATCTAGTGTATCATTTTTGTATATAACATTTGTTTATGTAAGTAGCATAAAGGGATCTACAACTTCATCTTGTTATACATCCCTGTGTCATAAAAAATAGTCCTCATTGCATCTAGCAAAGTGATCTTCAGGTGTAAAATTAGTGAGTGCCCCTTTAAGAGCCCTTCTCAACTCATCTACTTAGTTATTTCCATCTCCATCTGGTGTGTTGCCTAATAAGGGATATTATCAATATTGTCTTTAACCTGGATTCACCACATTAGGAAAAGTTGTCAGTGTAAACAATCAATGGGGAGCCTTTTGGCAAACACATTTATCAATGTGTCATCAAACCAGCAAGGGGCAGGAAGTGTTTACGACTGTCTCTGCAGCCACACAACCACCAACAACAAGGCTGACACACCGCTTAATCATCGGCCATGTCGAGTGGGGGATTTTAGCTCCATTACTTTGCCCAATCCTCTCTCTTTCTGTCTGTGCCTCCATGCCAAAATCTCTCTCAGTGCTACAATAACGCACCATAAACAACCACCCCCCGCCCCTCCAATCCTCCTCCTCTCCTCTCCTCTCAGTCCCGATGCGAGCTGATGCATGCCACGGAAGCAGTGACGTGAGTTGTTTACTTGTAGGTCGCCGCAGCAGCACATCCAGCAAGGCTTATGTAACTCCACTGCCAGCTGCATGACAGCATGACAGGCCGTTTACTGCAGAGTGCGTGCCCTTGGTATGGGGGTGGGGGGTCTTATGCTGCAGCCTGCATCACCCACTCCCACGTAAGCACAGGTGCATGCAGTATACAGTAGGCTATAAACAGACAGTCAACCAGCTTTCCTCTCCACTGCACTACACCGTGTGTGATGTGAAAACACAGCGGGTTCACTGCCGGAGCACATAGTGGCTCCAAAAGGATCTTCTCCCTCCCCTCACATATCCCAGGATCCTCCACTGCAGCAGCAGCAGACAGGTAAACAACTCTGGCTGGCGTAGTAGCGCCGTCCAGCTCATCATGCACGGACACATGCCGCCCCCTGTTGGCAGCAGGAAACGAGAGACAGTACCATATTTGGGCTGGCGATGAATTCAGGAGTCAGAGTGTATTTTATTTTTCAAAATGAGGTCTCCTATTCTTAAGAAAGCATCACAATACCTGAGGAATCTTATATCTGTGTTTAAATAAGAAAAAAAATCATTAAGGGAAACAAACAAATTCCAGGTGAAATTTTTATTGTTTGTTTTTTTGGTACATTGCAGCAGAAAAACCTTCATATAATTTCAGGGTTACAGGAGTAGGCGCTATTACATGACATGTTGTAGGAAATAAAATATATGTTAACTAAATAAAGATAGTTAATACCTATAGAAGTGAGAGTCGACAATAAGATGAAAAGAAAACCTGTCACAGATGATTTTAAAAAATGTAAACAGGCAGTGAATCTTCCCACCATTTCATTCAGCCAATCTTTCAGATCTGGAGCTGTCCAAAGTCTGATCAGTTACTCACTGGTTGGATAATTCTGCTGTCAGTGACTCATTCTCATTGAGTCTCATAGTAAAACTTAACATCTCCCTATTCAGCATTTATAATCAACCATGTAATCAGTTGTTTGTCACACACTTGCAAACTTGCACGTCCAGTATTAGTCAACAAGCATAACTTCTTCAATGAAGACATTTTTTATTATCCCAAATGCGTTAATTAATATTTTTTGTATGGTTGTCAAAATGAGGCGTTATAGTTGTTGACAAATATATATTGTCAACAACTATAAATTATATATGTTCACAACTGCATTATAGTGAGTTATAAACTATTTATTATATGTTTCATATAAATGCTAACTAGGATGACTTAACGTTACCTTTTCAGATGTATAAATTAGAATACATTCATTTCCATAGTGTTAACTGTACTGATCATTACCTGTGATGAATCATTTTCATGATCTTATTTATTAATTTATCTGTGAACTTCATAAAGGTCCCCCCTCTACATTTCTACACACACACACACACACACACACACACACACACACACACACACACACAAACATTGATACATAAGCTAGTATAAAAGTCCTCACTGGTAGCACACATTATGCAATGACTGATGATAATGGTGACGTGAGTTTTTGTTATGTAACTGTAAAATGTACGCTCATCTTTAAAGATGCTTTCCTGTTGGTCATTCATGTCCCTTTTTATGATCTAGTTTTCAAATGTACCTCTTTTTGTTTTTTATGATTTTTCCCCAAGGTAAACAATTAAAGAAGGAAGAAAACATGTGACAAATATATAGTTGTGACCTGATTTCTGCACTAATGAAAATACATTCATGTTCTTGATATTTTCCTGTTTCCTAAGGTCTTTTGATTTTAAAAACATCTTATGTACAAGCTGCTATTTTTTTGTATCCTTTTGTGTGCCATGTCCATTATACAATTCAAATAAATAACCAGTATGATGCTTTATTAATCCATAGGGAAATCTCTCGTCCCACACTCACAAGTCAATGGTTAGAGTCGATGACTTAGCAGCGCCTCTGATCTGCAAGTGATTCACAGTCTTGCTCCAGTACACAGAAGCTGCCATCCAAAACAAAATGATAAAACCACACAAAAATCACTCAACAAGTCAAAAGAAAGTGATGATTGACAGATCACGAGTCCCTCCCTCACTCGTTATGAAAAACAAGAATTAGTGTTCGCGGAATGGACGTCGGTACAAGCCTCAGATACTAAGAACACGACATCACTGGAATGATTTCGCATTACTTTTCAAGTAATGCCGTGTACTTAGAATTACAGCAGCCACCTCCTCATGGTGCGAGCGTCAAAACAACTTTGTATTGGAAACAAAGCACAAGGTTAACAGTCGTGAAGCTGTTATCCAAACATGAGCAGGCAACAAATATGTTTGTGCAGTCTTTAATGACAGTAACTACTATGTTCAGGGTCAAATATGTCAGTGTTGTAAATCATAATCAGTAATTCACATGCATATAACAGGGTTATTTTGTCCAAACAAGATGACTGATTAGTGCCCAGCAATGAGAATAAGTCACTACCTGAAACCAATTTGCAAGTGTTATCAGGTATATTAAGGTGTCTCCTGCAGCTCTTATCATTTGCCAGATAAAATGTCCAAACCTGTTTTTTATGGGCAGCTGAGATTAATGGTGAAAGACAGACAATATGTCATAGTGAGGGTCCTTAACTTTTGTCCTAAATGTTCTCCTCTGTCCCCCTGATGCCATCTTTCTTTCTTTTTCATTTCATCGCAAGAGCCACACCTCGTCATGCCCAAATGACACTTGTGTTGTTTTCTCAGTCTGCACTTGAAAGAAACCTGTGTAAAGATGAAACCATACAAACAGAAACCCAAAACTGGGGATAGTGTTTGGTTTTATTATACAGTATCAGTCTGTTATATATAGGCTACATAACATAATTTGAACTATCTTTTAAATGACTCCTGGACCATCTGGCTCATCCTCATAATCATCATCACTTTCATAATGTTGTCAAGGCAGTGTTACTAAATAAGTGCGCAGGGAGGTTTTAAGTGATAATAACCTGCTACAACACGATTTGGATCAAAATATGTCTATGTAATGATTGTAGTGAAGAGAAACGCCTTCTTGTGATCAACGAGCATGCATTCCTAGCTTTTACTACCACCTTACTACTGACTCACTGGCTCCAGGCCCATGATGGTAAACAACCTCACCCCTCAGCACTGCAGCGTCTCAGGGTCGCCCTCTTCTGGTTAATAGAAGAGCAACAAGAATATCTGCAGGGAATATAACCAGTTTTCCCAAAATGTTTTAATCTGAGATTAAATCACAAGAAGTTCACTTTTTGTTGCATTAAATTAAACATTAAAAATGACAACATGTAGGCCTACTTACAACAGAGCAGAATAAACCTGTCCTAATACAATATTTCAGATCAAATGTACAAAACGTGACGCTTTTAAAGTGTGAACGTCGAGTTTACCGAGACCACAATTTAGTTAAATTAATATTAAAGTTTCAAAACACAAATCAACATTGTGGGGGAACCAAAGCTCCGCTCGTGTTTCCAGGGGGACGTTTTTCTTGGAGGTCCGAGGAAATGTTCAACATGTAGCTCACTGTGAGAGGACCTTTTTCTTTTGAGGATTAAAAAGAGCAAGGTAATCCTCAAATTTGATACATTTCATTATTTTAATGTGTATTTTTCCCTTACTGTTCCTCAACTTCAGCTACGGAAAATCACTTCCTAATTTGGCGGAGTGTTTTCAAAGTGAAGGCGCAACCATCATTACACGCTTAACCCATTCACATTTTGTTTTGTTTGAACAGAATATCATATTAAGCTGCCACTAAAAACACAAAGTTACTCTTAAATATTGCTTTGTTTGTCTGCAAATGCGCGTAACTTGTCCGGACAGGCGTCATAGGACGACGGATACTTTTTATTTTGAATATTAACTAACCGGAGTTGCAGTTTTCTGTTTTGACGGCAGAAACTGTTCATATAAGTACACTTTAAGTAATTTAAACTTAAGACTAGCAGCTAATAATCAGTACAAGATGCGTTGCCTCGTGTTTAGCGTAATATTAAATTAAATACTTACTACCATGTCTAGACTGTTTAAATCTGCCTGCCGCTGGTGAGATTAAAACAAAAACCTTATTTTAGGACATGTCAGAACATGTTGTAGTTTGACCTTCTTAGGACGGATCTGCAACTAAAATGTAAGTTATGGGGAATAGCAAGAATATTTGAATGTAACGTGCACCAAGAAACGCTCCGAGGTAGGTTGCTTTTTAATTAGCTTTTGTATTGTATTGCAGACCTTGTTCGTTCTTTAGAATAACTGTAGCCAAAAAAAGAGATGCAAGCAAACTGTTGAGAGCATATATGTCCTACATAATAAGTAATAATAATAGTAACTTTATTTTTATAGCCCTTTTGAATACATGTGATTTACAACAATGTCAAACATAAAAGTTGAATAAAAGTTGGTATCACACACACACACACACACACAGTGGTTTACAACAATGAATATATAAAAACATAAGTCAATATACAAATACAGGAAAAATAAATAAGCCTCACACAGTGGTTTACAATTAAACATGATCAAGTTAATATATATATACAGTGAGGAAAATAAGTATTTGAACACCCTGCTATTTTGCAAGATCTCCCACTTAGAAATCATGGAGGGGTCTGAAATTGTCATCGTAGGTGCATGTCCACTGTGAGAGACATAATCTAAAAAAAAAAAATCCAGAAATCACAATGTATGATTTTTTAAACTATTTATTTGTATGATACAGCTGCAAATAAGTATTTGAACACGTGTCTATCAGCTAGAATTCTGACTCTCAAAGACCTGTTAGTCTGCCTTCAAAATGTCCACCTGCACTCCATTTATTATCCTAAATTAGATGCACCTGTTTGAGGTCGTTAGCTGCATAAAGACACCTGTCCACCCCATACAATCAGTAAGAATCCAACTACTAACATGGCCAAGACCAAAGAGCTGTCCAAAGACCCTAAAGACCCTAGAGACAAAATTGTACACCTCCACAAGGCTGGAAAGGGCTACGGGGAAATTGCCAAGCAGCTTGGTGAAAAAAGGTCCACTGTTGGAGCAATCATTAGAAAATGGAAGAAGCTAAACATGACTGTCAATCTCCCTCGGACTGGGGCTCCATGCAAGATCTCACCTCGTGGGGTCTCAATGATCCTAAGAAAGGTGAGAAATCAGCCCAGAACTACACGGGAGGAGCTGGTCAATGACCTGAAAGAGCTGGGACCACCGTTTCCAAGGTTACTGTTGGTAATACACTAAGACGTCATGGTTTGAAATTACGCATGGCACGGAAGGTTCCCCTGCTTAAACCAGCACATGTCAAGGCCCGTCTTCTGTTTGCCAATGACCATTTGGATGATCCAGAGGAGTCATGGGAGAAAGTCATGTGGTCAGATGAGACCAAAATAGAACTTTTTGTTCATAATTCCACTAACCGTGTTTGGAGGAAGAAGAATGATGAGTACCATCCCAAGAACACCATCCCTACTGTGAAGCATGGGGGTGGTAGCATCATGCTTTGGGGGTGTTTTTCTGCACATGGGACAGGGCGACTGCACTGTATTAAGGAGAGGATGACCGGGGCCATGTATTGCGAGATTTTGGGGAACAACCTCCTTCCCTCAGTTAGCGCATTGAAGATGGGTCGAGGCTGGATCATCCAACATGACAATGACCCGAAGCACACAGCCAGGATAACCAAGGAGTGGCTCTGTAAGAAGCATATCAAGGTTCTGGCGTGGCCTAGCCAGTCTCCAGACCTAAACCCAATAGAGAATCTTTGGAGGGAGCTCAAACTCCGTGTTTCTCAGCGACAGCCCAGAAACCTGACTGATCTAGAGAAGATCTGTGTGGAGGAGTGGGCCAAAATCCCTCCTGCAGTGTGTGCAAACCTGGTGAAAAACTACAGGAAACGTTTGACCTCTGTAATTGCAAACAAAGGCTACTGTACCAAATATTAACATTGATTTTCTCAGGTGTTCAAATACTTATTTGCAGCTATATCATACAAATAAATAGTTAAAAAAATCATACATTGTGATTTCTGGATTATTTTTTTTTTTAGATTATGTCTCTCACAGTGGACATGCACCTACGATGACAATTTCAGACCCCTCCATGATTTCTAAGTGGGAGAACTTGCAAAATAGCAGCGTGTTCAAATACTTATTTTCCTCACTGTATATATATATTAATTTTGTTTGCATTGTTACATATCAAACAGATTTTAGATGGGCCACTTGTGTGACAAAGACAGAAAGCAACACAGATTCATTTATTTTATTTAACTGTCTGGCTAATTTAATCTTTCAGAAAAAGGGATTTCGCCACTGTCAATCAATCATAAATCACTGATTACAATTTACTAAGCCATAGCTTTAAAGTTATTGATTGTAGGGCTGCGGATAACAATCAAAACACAAAAAACACAATCAAATAGGCTTATACAATAGGCTTTATTGCCACGGCCAATGTTATGTAACAACAAGGATATTTTCACACTGGCGCTGTCGATAGTTATTCAAATCTTTAACGTGAACTTTTTCATTAAAAAAAAAAATCAGTGTTAACCACAAGTACGTTTTATTAATCACATTTAGACCATGATAGGACACTTAAAATGTAAAAATAAGTAGGTTGATTTTAATATTTTCATTATTGATTGAGCTGCTGATTATTTCCTTGATTAACAAATCACAATTTCCTTTAGTCCAAAGTGCTTTTTTTGTCCAAAGACATTCAGTTTATTATATCACAAGCCACAGGAAAACATAAAATGGTCACATTTAAGAAGCTGGAACCAGAAATATATTTGTATATTTGTTTTGTTGTTGATCGAATAATAAATTAATCGACCAACCGTTTCAACTCTATATGATTCATTAATTTATTGGAAAGAATGAACAGTTTCCAAACTGGAAAGTACTGCAGTGTTACTCCGCCACTACAAGGCTGATATTTTTTATGTTGGCATGTATTTCAGATTTCGCCATGGAGGGAACTTCCAAAAGCGATGCTGCAGGTCAGCCCTCTGTTGCTGCTCAAGTTCCTTTCCTTCACCTGTGCAGCACATTAGAGAAAATCCAGAAGTCTAAACTCCGTCCAGATAAATCCAAGATCCTCAGGGACTTCATTGAGTCATGGAGGAAGTTTCATTCTGCCCTCCACAAAGACGACCCCAAAACAACAGACTCTTTCTACCCAGCTATTCGTCTCATTGTCCCCCCCTTTGAACGAGAGCGCATGGCGTATGGCATCAAAGAGAGCATGTTAGCTAAACTCTACATCGATGTATTAGGCCTGCCAAAGAATGGCCCGGAAGCCAATAAACTGTTGAACTACCGTGCTCCGACTACGTCCCAAGGAGAAGCTGGAGACTTTGCTGGCATGGCGTACTTTGTGCTGAAGAAACGGTGCACCAGCCAAGGAAACCTCAGCATCAAAGAAGTCAATGACTTTCTGGACTCGGTGGCCATCAACAACGCTAGCAGGCAGAAGGATCTTGTGAAAAAGAGCCTGCTGCACCTCATCACCCAGAGCTCGGCTCTCGAGCAAAAATGGCTCATCAGAATGATTCTGAAGGACATGAAGCTCGGGATCAGCAAAGAAACTGTTCTCCAAGTCTTCCACCCAGATGCTGCTGAGCTTTACAACGTCAACACAGACTTAAACAAGGTGTGCCAGCAGCTCCACAACCCCTCCGTTTCTTTAAGCGAAGTCTCTATCGGACTGTTCTCTGCTTTCAAGCCTATGTTGGCAGCTGTGGCGAACATCCGCAATGTGGAGAAACAGATGGGAAACAGCCCATTTTATATTGAGACAAAGCTGGATGGGGAGCGTATACAATTGCACAAAGATGGGGACGTGTACAAGTACTTCAGCCGAAATGCCTTTGAATACACCCAGCAGTTTGGAGGATCCCCACTGGAGGGCTCCCTGACACCTTACATCCACAACGTTTTCAAAGGCCACGTTGTAAACTGCATCCTCGATGGTGAGATGATGGCGTACAACCCGACCACTGAGACCTTCATGCAGAAAGGGAGCAAATTCGACATCAAGAGACTCGTGGAAGACTCCGAGTTACAGACGTGCTTCTGCGTGTTTGACGTATTGTTAGTCAATGACCAGAAGCTTGGCAAGGAAACACTCAAGAAGCGCGACGAGATCCTTCAGACAGTTTTCACCCCAGTAAAGGGAAGGATACACCTGGTGCCAAAGACTGATGCCAGAACCATGCAGGAGGTTGTGAATGCCCTCAATGACGCCATTGACAACAGAGAAGAGGGGATCATGGTGAAGGATCCTTTATCCATCTACAAACCTGACAAGCGGGGGGAGGGATGGCTGAAAATAAAGCCCGAATATATGGATGGCTTGATGGATGAGCTTGACCTGCTGATTGTTGGGGGTTACTGGGGGAAAGGGAGACGGGGTGGTATGATGTCCCATTTCTTATGTGCTATTGCCGAAGCTCCAAAGCCTGGCGAGAAACCCTCAGTTTTCCACTCTTTCTGCCGCGTCGGCTCTGGCTACACCATGAAAGAGTTGCACGACCTTGGCTTAAAGCTAGCCAAGCACTGGAAAGTCTACCGGAAAAATGATCCGCCTGCATCCATCTTGTGTGGAACAGAGAAACCGGAAGTTTACATTGAACCCTGCAACTCAGTTATCATCCAGGTCAAGGCGGCTGAAATAGTCGGTAGTGACATGTATAAAACCAACTGCACCCTGCGCTTCCCCAGGATCGAGAAGATCCGAGACGACAAGGAGTGGCACCAGTGCATGACTCTGGCAGAGCTGGATCACTTCCGCGGCAAGGCATCTGGGAAACTCGCCTCGCGGCACCTTCACATCGATGATGCCGAACCGCAAAAGAAGAAGCGCAAGCTGCCATCGAAACCCAAGAAGGTGGTCGGGATCATCGACCACTTTAAACCCCAGGACCTCTCCGGGATCACCAAAGAGACAGATATGTTCGAGGATGTGGAGTTCTGTATCCTGAATGGCACAGAGGATCACCCCAAGGCTGAGCTGGAGAAGGGTGTGGCCAGGTAACATGACATCTGTGAAAAAGCCTCGTTGTTGTTGAACTAGAAATTAGAACTATGATTACTGACCACTTGTGAGCAGTGGGGGAAAAAAGCTGTGAACAATGACATGTTATTACATTTTGTAAGTTGATATGGGTGTCCACCGTACTGTATAAAAGAAGTGTATGTAGTCACCTACTGTTGAAGCCTTGTGTTTGGCATTTTGGCCGTCGTTGTGAAAACAAGCCAAAATTAGCAATTAGAAAACAAGCCAAAATAACAGGCTTAAACAAAATGTACTTAATGGAAAAAAATATAACAGCTCCTCCTTTAGTCAAACCAAACGCTAAACAAAACATCTTTTAGGTGACCGAAATGTTACAGTTCCTTTTTGTCAGTGGTGGAAGGTACTTAAGTACAAATTTGATCTACTTGCTTTACTTGAGTATTTTCTTTTCATGTGACTTTGTAGTTTCTGCTATTGCACCACATCTCAGAGGGAGATATTGTACTTTTTACTTCACAACATTTATCTGACAGCTTTGTTACTAATTACTTTACCAATTAAGCTTTTTACACACAAAACATATGAAGACTTAGTATAATATGTTTTGGTATAAATTAAATTACCCAACATTGTATTAGATTGACATTGAAATTAACTGGCAACAACTTTGATTGTTTAAGACATTTTTCATGTAAAAACATTTCCAGCTTCACAAATAAGAAAATTTGCCACTTTTCCTTTAAATTATTTTAATTTATTTGTAATGATTTTGGGCTTTGTAATGTTGGTTAGACAAAGCAAGCATTGTGAAGGTGTCGCTTTGGGTAATTGTGACTGCATTTCTCACTATTTTCAGAATTTCAAAAATCGATTAATGGAGAAAATAATCAGCTGATTAATCCATAATGAAAATAATCATTAGTTGCACTCCAATAGTAAATAGAAAACAGATATTTTCCTTTCTGAAAGGTAATAAAAGGTAATGTGCGGATCTGATACCTGCTGTGAACAGACGCTGCCAGCTGACTAATAGTTGAACATGACAGTATTAAACAAAAAGTCACTCACATTAACACACTATAATATTTACAAAAAGTTTGTTGCTTTTATCACCATGCATTAATGTAAATCAAATTAGTTCAAACAAAACAAAAGCTGGGACGCTCACCCGTTCTCCGACATGTCAATCAAATCTTTACAATTTACACTTGATTACACTCCCAATGTCCCATCAGTCCCAAAATTTAACTTCAATTTTCCGATGATTAAATCAATCCCCAATCCCCATTAGAAAGAATGCAGGTTTAAGACACTACTGTATTGGCTTCACTTTTCAGACCCGGAGGGTGCTGCTTGATCTGCACCAAGTCCTGAGGGAAATATCTGGCTCTTTAGCAGCTTAATGCTCTACTATGTTCACTAGCTGGTCGCTAACTTTATCTGCGGTTTGGTGCCGGGCAGTTAGTGTACACTGGTTTATCAGAGCCTTTTTGCTAAAAAAAACAGCTGCCTGCCTGAAACCAGTAAAGTTGTTGACTAGTAAACCAAAACAATGAGCTGAAAGAGGATAAAAAGCCCACTAGAGCTGCAGCGTCGCTTGATAATTCTTTGTGGGTAGCAGCAGAACCCTTGAGTGTATTGCATTGAGCAATAGTGCATTTTGATCGCACTAGTTAACTTTTCATTTATAAGTGATTACTGATGTCATCTTCTCATTAGATGTGGCGGTATCGTGGTTCAAAACCCAGGACGGGACACCTACTGCGTGATTGCTGGGGTGGAGAATATGCGCGTGAAGAACCTGATTTTGGCCGACCAGCATGACGTGGTGTGGGCCGCCTGGCTGCTGGAGTGCCTGCGCCAGAAGGAGGTGGTCCCATGGCAGCCGTGTCACATGATCCACATGTCGCCCTCCACCAGGGAGCACTTTGCCAAGGAGTACGACTGCTATGGCGACAGCTACTTTGTGGAGACGGACGAGCAGCAGCTGCGGGAGGTGTTCGGCCGGATCAGAAGCGTGGACGCGTCTGCGGCCGTGAACATCGGCCAGGTGGAGCAGCGTTACGGCTGGGAGGACCTTCCCACCAGCATGTTCAGACCCTTCAAGATTTACATGGACTGCTACGCCAACATAGGAGACCCTGACACCATCATACCTGCCACCTGTTTGGACATCCGCGCCCTGGAGTTTCGCTTCCATGGAGGGACAGTGGTGCAGACGTTAGAGGAAGGAGTCTCCCATGTCATTATCGCAGAGGAAACAAGACTTCCAAATTTAAGGACTCTGAGGCGCGGCTTTAGGAAGAAGTTTAAGATCGTAAGAGACTCGTGGGTGACGGATTCAATCAACGCAGGTTATCTGATGACTGACACCGACTACTTAGTTTGAAGAGTCTTCACGTGATATACACAGGCTATAAGTTAGCTATATGAGCATTTTTGTGCTAAATTAGTGCTACCATTTTAATTCTTATTAAGATTAGTAATGAACTATTTTATAAAGGTTGAAAAATAAAAACGGTCAAAGTCACCATCAAGGGTAAGACAAATTAAGTGATTTAAAATGATATTGCACTGTACATAGCTGTTGCTTCTCAGGGTTTCTTTATGAGTTTTATGTTTTGTGTTCTTAACGAGTGATTAAGGCTTCTTGTTATTGGTTTTAAATTGATAGGCTGCTGTAAAACTCAGAAAGGCAATGATTGGGTTTTTCAGTTTTAAAAGTTAGAATTGCATAGTGACGTATTCAAATATGGAAGCTGATTCATCTTTTATTCAGCATCTCCGCCCTTTAAACTTTTAGCTGAGCATTTATAAACACATTTTAGGGGAAGAAAAAGAGGGTTTCATTCTAAAAACTATGTGTAATTTTTGGCAACATAAATTTGAAGAAAATTAAGCTGCTTTCATCTTGTTCTGTCTTTAGATACAAATCGATAAAGTGGTCTACAGTGGACTGATTAGGATGTCAGTAAACAATGACGAATCTGTGAGTGCAAAGCGACTGGGGAATACTCCACCGTGATAATCTAAAATGGGCCCATCCTTATTTTTACATTTTAAAAGGGACACTCCATCAATTTAGTATTACACTTAGACATCATTTGGGGACTTAAATGGTCAAAATAAGCAGAGGCCATGATATCCTGACTCCGCAGTATGAGTCAAGCTTAAAAACACTGTATATCACATTTTCCATAATGCAACTGAGTGGTGTCTTTCATTAGACCTCTCTCGCCTCAAATTATTTTCAAACCCCATACCTCTTTTTCTACTGATTTCTGTCAAAATGTTATCATCACTTTGACATCATCAGGGTTTTTCTAACTTTGGAGCGCAAAGTCATTAGTAGTACTTTATGTGACAAATGAACCGAACTTCATGGGCAAAATTGGTGGAGTCAGACAAAGAAAAAAGGATTATTAATGTTTGTTTAAATACATGTTAAGTACAACTCTAATAAATATCTTGAATTGGTTAAAAATACAGGAACGACTGTTGTGTTTTTAAAATTTTAGTAATTAACTTCAATCGAGTGTCTGTGTGAAGTGATGGCCTTTGCCTCAGCTCTTCAAAGTGTACTCAGCTGGCAGAGATGGACCAGGGGACACCACAGGGGTACGTTAAAACCGGTTCCGCTCAAGGCCCTCCAAAGACGTTGGCATGTTTTCCTGTCTTCAAAAATGTCATCAAGGTGTCTTGGGATATGTTATAACCTTCATCGACATCGCCTCTAGGGTATAGGTGTCTGCCTGCGGTGTCTTGGGCATTGTGCGTAAATGTCGCATGAATACATTGTCAAAGTTAAAATGATGAGGTACCTGTTCCTAATCATATACTGTGCATAATGGCTCTCATTGGCATGTAGTGTTCCCTGTAGGTTTTAATGTTTGTAATTTTCACATCACTGTTAAACAAATTCATTAAAATTCATTCTCCATTCTTGGCAGTTTAGCTAAAGTTATACCACTTTTGTTAGAAACAGCACAAAAGCATAAAATAGTTGAAAGCAAAATGATCTTCCCCACTAGTTAAAAATAATTATATTGTGCCTCAATAAGCACTCCGTCACCTGTCACCCACTATGAACTATTTCCAGGTGATTTCCAGTGTTTGAGTGACAGGCTCTAATTAGAGGTAGTCACCTTGTGCTTATTCCAGCGATGCATTGTGTCGTTGCAGCACAAGCGTTGGTCTTAAAAATGCCTAACTGCCGGCAATCTGAAAGGACTCCCAGGAACATATTATCAGTCCTGAGGATCTGGAGATGCAAACAGCCGCTGAAGGCTAGCATTGCAGAAATGCCACGTCCTAATGGGATAAATGCTCCAATTAGGCAAGCTGTAGCTTTTGGAGAGAAGGCACCAGCGAGCGCCTTGGACACAAGCGGAAACAAATGGTTTGATGGCAGCCTCTAGACAACCAGCAGCTGCATGCGCTCAGCTGATATAAATGAGCTCCTGTAGAGACCAAACAGAGGCTCGTGGCTGCAGGGAAGGTTTGTCTGCAGCAATTAGCACAGCCCATCTTCAATCAATGAAGAAATTAGATTAAAAAAAAACAACAGAGAATCAAGCTCCCTTTTTTGCCTGATAAATAAGTGGTTATAATGTTCATAAACATTCCTTTATATTTGATCAACATCCAGGTCTGGTAAATTGGTCAAAGTGTCTATAAAATGTACAAACTACTCCATTTGGTATACGTTTTGAATCAGCCTTTTATCTTTATCACATCCTCACCCAACTCTAAATCAAGCTCTGAATTATAGTGTCAAGCACATTTTCAAAAGCTCCCATTTGCTTCAAAGTAAAACATTTATCAAGAGTAAGAGAGATTGCCCTTTACAAAACTATTTTCCACTGTGGAGGAGAGGAGCCCACGTGAAAACTGACTGGGCGACGTACAAGTACTGTAGGGATTAAACAAATAAGATGTTGTAAATAACATGTTAATTAGTGAAATGCTCTGAGGTGGGGGCGGGGTTGTTATCTTCACACAGAGCCAAGCGAGCCGTTTCCCCCAGCTTCCAGTCTTTATGGTAAGCTTTGCTAGCCGTCTCCTTGCTCTGGCTTCATATGTAGCATACAGACATGAGTGTGGTATCATTCCCCTCATCTAACTCTCAGCAGGAAAATAAGTAGGAGTGTATTTCCCAAAATGTCAAAGTATTCCTTTTAAAGGAAGCAATTTCAACTTATGACCTCTCATCACTGGTTGTGGCCAGCTCAGCTGAACAGGCCTGAAGAGGTGAAATTAACCTGTAATTCACAAAAAAATGTAAAAAGATATAGAAAATCAACATAACATTTTATAGCATAAATACAGTATATTTTGTCTGGTATTTCACGCCCCCTCAGATTTATCTTGTAACCCCGTGTAGGGGTCCTGAGCCCAAAGTTGGGGACTCCTGGTTTAATTTGCAGTTGAAACTTTCTTCAAAAAGCTTAATGGCTAAAATGAGTTAATTCATAAAAACAAATGCTTTACCTTCCCTGTAAAGTAGTGGATGAACTCCTAATTCTTTACCCTCATTACAAAAGCTGCAAATACAGCTTCACTATAGCCCCGAGCCCAGAAAAAACATTTAATAAAATGATCCTGTTTTAGCATACGTTTTTAGCCCCTTTAGGGCAAATCGTATAGTGTACTCATAATAATGAAAGGCACATTTCCACAGCATGCTGTAATATGTCAGACTTTTAAATAACATTTTCCCACCTTCCAGACAGCCTCTGATTTCAAAGCATTTCACTGCTGGTTTAAGATTTACTTAGGCTACAGAGACTTTGGATTTGCTTGAATTGGCTAATCCATCACAATAAACATCATGTCTGCTTTAATTGCTGTCACAGTTGTCTCTGAGTGGTAATGGAGTTGTAAGCACTCATTGATTTAAAGATCTGCCATGCATTAAAAAGGACACAACTTTGGCACAAATAAAAATAGGCAAACTGTACTCATGGTCATGGATTACCTTTTCTCAGGCAAGTGTAAGTCTTGTTTCTTCATAAAGTAAACAGACAAATGAGAACAAGAAGTGGATCTTTGGGAAAAACACATGCTGATGTCTAAAACACAACAGCAGCCCGTTCTTTTGAAAATTGGCATCTGTATTATAAAGTACACTTGATTTTAAAAGGGCTGAAAATATGCAGAAGCATTGGTATTGTCCTTTAAAGAGTAAACCACTCCTTGCTTTGATGAGAGCATCTTACCTGAGGCTGGAACAGGTGAGTACCAACCTGTCTCACTGGTCCAGTATCAAGCTAGCTACAGTACAGGCTGTAATGTAAGTCTGCTAGTGGAAAATTTCAAAATAAAACCCTTATAACAAACTCTCCTTTTCCAGTCAGCACGTTTTATTGTTCAGTGACTTCTGTAGCCTGTAGACGCATGTTCTTACTTTTAGTAGTTGTTTATTTCTTTTATTTTTACTAAACACCCACCATTGTTAAGATTGTGTTTAATTTGAAGGCTGACATCATAGGCTTTCATTTTGAAGCCAAAATTACAAAATTCAGTTTTTTAAGCTGACTGACTTGACGCACCTTAGGCTACCAAGGGATGCGGTGGCCGCGGTGCGCGCGCACAACGTCAGAGACGGGGAGGTTAAGTCAAGGTAGCAAGCTCAGGTAGCACACTAGCGGATATTTGCTGATTTGAACTTCAAAATAAAATACAAAAGGCGTAGGCTATGTATCTTAACATAACCTGTTGAAATATAATTTTAGTACACATCTGTAAACGCACCAGTAGGCTATTAGCCAGGGTGCTGTGTTTTTAATATAGCCTTAAAAACAATAAAATAACTCAATTGCATTTTAAACTAACAAAGAAGCTGGACCCTGGTTCACAAACATGGGGGTCAGGACCCCTAAAGCGTTCCCCAGAGGGTTAACAGGAAAAATATTCTCTAACATAATTTTTATTTTTATTTTCTCTTCCTTGTTTTTATCCCTGTGAAATACTGGTTAGTTTCATCTCCTCTGGTCTCCAAAAAGCTTTCAACTAAAACCAGTCAGAGTGGAAAAAGTTAGACTTTGAACTGCTCATAAACTTTGATGAGGGGTCTCAAACAGACACACTTAATTTTAAGCATGAAGCAAAGGTGGGAAACATTTGGTCTAGATTACAGGACACGTGAAAAAAGACATTTTCAAATCCCACAGAGGTAGCTGTGGGACAAAGCAACATGTGCAACAGCGTGCGACCTTTACTTTGAATGTCACAACGGGAAATGCTGCCGGTTACTGCTGCTGACTTTACGCTGCTTCCTGCAAACACACACCGTCCCTTGGCGAACATGGCGGCAACTTGACAACGGCAGCGAGATGAAGACGGTGAGGGCTTGATAAAGAAAAGAGGTCTGTTACAGGCTGTAGGCCCATTCGCCGACACAAAGGCAGACAGCTTCGCCATGTTGGAAGAGGATAGCGCCATTGTCCCTGCACGACCGAGGCCAGGGAAAACGTAAACGCGTCGGTGAGTGTTTCTGAAAACGGAGTCGAGGCTACGCAGAGGAGCGGCGCGGCGCGGAGCTCAGGGCGGACGGGAGAACAGCGGCTTCACCGGTCAGCCATGGAGGATGCGGCCCGTGGTCGCCAGCGTCTGATTTGCCATCCGGCCCACGCTCATTTTAATGGAAATTACCGCTGATCGGAAAGGCAAGCCGGGACAACCCACCACCTGACACTTGAGGGGAGGAAAACGCGAAGCGGACCCCACGTCAATGACTGTTGCGGCAGAGGAGCCCCCACGGTGGAGTCGGCCGGTTCCCAAAATATGACCAGGGGTGCTGGGACGTGTTGGCAGCAAGAAAATGACGACGGCTTCCAAATCTGGCTAGAGCCCCCCCGCGATAACCAAAAGCCATTCACCGACTCAGAGAGGGCGCAGAGATGGCGACTGTCCTTGGCATCCCTCTTGTTCTTAACCATCCTCCTCTCTGATCACCTGTGGTTCTGCGCCGAGGCCAAACTGGCCCGGACCCGGGTCAAGTTCGCATCCTCCCACCTCCTCTCACCCCAGACCCACTCAGCACACAGCAGCCTCAGAGGAAACCCAGATGCTATTTTTATAGGAAACTCTACCAAACATTTGTGGCGGCTTGAAACTTGCCACCAGGATAGTTTATCTAAAGACTGCTTTACTTTGGCAGATGCCGACGATTTGTGCAAGGGCCTTTCCGACCAAGAGGGGACGCGGGCTGTAAATATGAGCGATTTGTACCTTTCCTTTTGTAACTCGTACTCTCTGCTGGATTTGTTTTACGGGTCGACAAGTCCGGACAAATTGAACTGCAGCCTCGACGTGCTCGGCGATGGCGACACCACCAGATGCAGCCTGTGCGTCCAGGCGTACCAGCGCTACGACCAGCACGCCCAGGAGAAATACGAGGACTTTGAGCTCCTCACTCAGAAATATGATCCGGGGGCATATTCAGTGAGGACGTGCATGGAGCAGTGCAAGGTAGGCTGCGAAAG